AACCCAGATTTGGCCAGAGTTGAGTATTTCCGCGAAATGTTAATGCTTTACTATCCTTGGCCGTATGAACAGCAAGATCTCATTGAAAACGATAATGAGCAGACTTGCAAAACACATCGTATTATAATTGAGGAAAATCAAAGAAAATATGATGTTTTTGAGCAAAGAGAACTTGAAAATGTTGTAGAAAGTCTTTATAATGAAATAGACGTGGACGAAGGTGCTCAAAATGAACTACCTATCGTGGAAAATGAGTTCAGAGTGTTGGCACTTCCAGAAATAAACCCAAATATAAATTTGCTGGACTTGCATGGCGAAGATTCAACAGATAATGGCACTGAATCTGATTGCAATATTAGACTTATTAAACTACCCCCTTTAATTCCAGTTGAGGAATTATTTTCTTTAGTTCAAAGTCTAAATACTAAGCAAAGAACCTATTTGACACATTTGATGCACCACCTAAAAACAAATCTCCCATTTTATGAGTTCATTGGCGGCGGTACAGGTGTAGGAAAGAGTCGATTGATATCTGCAATATATCAAGCTCTTAACCATCGTTACAATTCTACACCTTGATCCAATCCAAGTTCCTTAAAAGTTCTTCTTTGCGCACCTATGGGTAAAGCAGCATTCGGAATAGGTGGAATGACCCTTCATTCAATATTCTCTTTACCTGTTAATCAGTTGAAGAGAGATTTGAGGCCACTTAGCAATGACACAGTGAATTCATTGTATTCTAGACTTATCGATTTAAAATTAATCATAATTAATGAAATATCGATGGTAGGTGCTCGTATGTTTAGCTCTGTTGATGCGAGATTAAAACAAATTTTCAAAACAGACAGCCCCTTCGGTGGTATACCGATCATAGTGTTTGGTGATTTGAAGCAACTCTCACTTGTTGGAGATAGGTGGATATTCTCTCTTAATCCCAATGATGCATACAGCACTTTAGTTGGTTCCCCTTTGTGGAAGTTATTTAAATACTTTGAATTAACAGAGATAATGAGACAACGGGAGGATCAGGCCTTTGCAATTGCATTAAATCATATGGCATCTGGTACTATGACATATGAGGACATATCACTCATTGAAACTCGAGTAGTTAATTTCGAAGAAGTTCCCGATGATGCCATACATTTATTTTGGTCCAATGAAGAGACAAATAATTTCAATGCCCTTAAGCTCAGTCGAATCCCAACAGAAGCTTTCCTTTCAACTGCAAAAGACTCAGTTAAAGGTATTGGTATAAATGAAAATGATAATATTTTGGAAAGAGTTAAACTTTTCAAAACTTCTGAAACGCAGGGACTGCCCTATGAATTGACACTGAAAACCTCCGCCAAATATATGATTACAGTGAACATAAACACGTGTGATGGCTTGGTTGCAAATTGATTTCCATTGTTATTTTCCAACAATTCTGTGGATTAAATTTTTGGAACCTTCTGTTGGTTTGATAGCACGATCAAAAAAGCCTCATCCTCTAGAAAGTTCTTGAACACCAATTGAAAAAGTTCTAAAATCTTTTCAATATAAAAGAAATGAATAAATTTCAATTGAAAGAAATCAGTTTCCAGTTGTTTCGGCTGAGGGAATAACTATTCATAAAAGTCAGGGTGCCACATATAATAACTTCTGCAGAAGGTCTATTCATCATAGGAAATTTTATTCCTCCTAACAAATTTTCTGAATCGGATCCCGTATTTAGGGAACTGAGGGAATTGAACACAAATAAAGCTTTGACCACAAGTTTGAATTTTATGATTTCCCGAACATCAGGACATCAAATTTTATTCCATAATGTTCAGAGTCTTCACGCTCACATTAATAGTATAAAAAGCGATCTTAAGATATTTTATGTTTTGTAGAAACTTGGAGTTATCCTTGCGAAAGTTTTGATATACCAGAATTTACTCCAATTAACGAGCTGAAGATAGATAGCACGGAAACAACCAACAGAAATAAACGGGGCATTATAATATATGCAAAGCATAGTATTGCTTGCTCTATAGAATCAAAGGCTGTAAAGAAAATTTATTCAGGCCGCAAAGTTTTAGAAGCGGTTTTGTTTAAGTGTTTCAATATTAATATTCTAGTTCTATATAGAAATTCAGCATTCTCTGGCAGACAATTAATTGTAGACCTTCAGGAAGTCCTTACTTCTGAGTTAGGCAATCAAAATGTGCTAATTGTTGGAGATTTTAACATTTGTTTAATGTCTACAGGGAGTGCAATAAGAAATCTGCTCCAAGAAAAAAACTTTAGTTCCCTGCTTGGTGCAGAATATTCAACTACACCTGCCGGTACACAAATTGATTGGGCATTTTCAAACATGGATCCTTCCCATGTAAATGCAATTACTTTTGAGACAGTACACAGCTATCATGACAGTATTTGTGTCTCTATTTCGAACTAAAGTTTTCAGACTTAGTGCAATAGTTCTTCATTTTTTTTTCCAAATATAATCGAATTGGAATGGTATAGGAATTTGGACAGTAGTTTTTAAGACAATTTTAAGAAAAATATGTAAATAATCTAATTAAGAAAATTTAAATTATATATATAATTTGTTATTATATATGATATTATTGTATAAATATATGATAGAAATTAAGTAGTATAAGGAAAAAAGAAATATAATTTGGATATATGTATAAGAATCTCTACAAATATTTATGTTTAATATTGTAAATATTATATACAAATTAATATAATAATATTATATCATTTTTAAAGTTGTTAATATTTATTATTTTTAAGCTAAACATGTATAATAATATCGATATAATAAATAAAAAATGTTATTCATTGTTCAAAAACGATTTCTCTTCATACTTCTCAATACAGTTGTAATGCATTCTATATAAAATCAATTATAAGCGTATACAAAGAGCACAAGAACGATTTCTCATAATTTGAGTAAATTTAGTTTACAAATTGCTTTAATTATTTTCACTGTGAGTGAAAAGTATATAACTAAGGCAACAGTTCCTACTTCTAATTATTAAAATAAATAAAGAAGTCTCAAACGAATATACCATTTAACTTTGCGAGAGTATAAAATGTTCGGTTACATCCGAATTTAGCCCTTCCTTACTTGTTAAAATTAGCTTTTGCAAAGTTGAACCGAGTACGGAAGCACGAAGTTTGATAATTATTATCGCGTACATTGCTTATGATTTCGACAGATATTTCCAAAGCAGGATGATACGAATCCTCTGGTTGAACAAGAGGATTACTCTGAATAACGGACCACTTTGAAGAGGTATCAACGTATAGTAAATCTAAGCATTTACCAAATTTATTCGGAATCAAATTAATTTGGTTCAGACCCAACTCGGACGTTTTTTCGAAAAACTCATGAAAACATGACCGATTGCAAATCGGTACGATGTAGTCATTGAAAGCTTTCCACGAAGCACACGGTAAATTGAAATCTCCTAATACGATTATTGAATCTGCATTATTTGCCATCGAAGTAGCACTATTTATTAAAGAAGCATGCTGCATGCATACAGATAAGTCCGAATGGGGTGGTATGTAAGACAGGGTTAAATAAATAAAGCAACTATTAACATATACTCTAATACATTTTAATTCAAATGAGTCGGTTCCTGGAACAAGAACATCTTCAGATGGGATAGAGGAATGTACGGCAAATAGAAGACCTCCACCGATTCTGTTCAGTCGATCACATCTAAATATTTGAAATTCGCTATTTAAAATCTCATTATCAAAAATGTGAGGTTTTAACCATGTTTCTGTAAATCCAATTATATGGAAATTAAAATTTGAACTGTTAAATTTTGATAATAAATGCTTAGCGAATTTTTACCACTCAGTTTTTTATATCGGTGGTTGCTTTTGGTAATTTAGCGATGTTTTCCTCAGTTTGACTTCTAAATTTAGGCTTAAATTCGCGTACAAAAGCCCCAGGTGGACTCAGACAGACAGTCACTCTGAATTTAACTCGTCTCGTCATCCTGATCTCCATATACATATATTTGGATTATTTTAAGGTGATAAATAATCGTTAGGTGAACAAAGCTATTATACTCTGTAGCAACATGTTGCAAAAGTATAATAAGCGAATACAACAAAGGTGATTAAAGAAAGTTGAAAAATATGTATGAGGAGAGTGGCCACTTTTTGCCAAAATTGATAATATAATCAAACGGATAAAGTTAAGAAACCTTCTATATGCTCAGATAAACTGAAGAGGTTTAAGAAAGTTTACAACAGAGAAGTTATTTAGTTGCCACTAGTTTGAAATTTATGTTGATAAACCCACCCTGTTTACAATATGAGTATAAAACTAAAGAGGTTTAAAGGACTTAGAGTCGAAAATAATTTTGCAAATGGTTGCCACTTGTTTAAATTCATTAAACGTTAATTAGAGTGTTTCGCGAAATAATTATATGATAAATGGAGTGATTTGTGAAAGCATAAAATCAAAAATTTGTTAATGATGAAGATTGCCATTTGTTTAAAATGTTTAATTCCATCAACTTATTAAGATAAAAAAAACTACCATGTATGTCAGTATAAAAGATGTTTAAAAAATCTTCGAATTCACAAATATTTCTTTCGAGACAAAATTTAAGATTGGCAACTTACCTATTTAACCTATTTCTTATAATTGGTGAATACAACGAAGGGTACAGGGGACGTTAACAATTGTTGTCAATTTAATTTAAATTCTGAGAATTTTTCAGAACACCTGTCACCTCTTTGAATAGCAACATTAAAGCAGACGGATGCAATAATAAATATTTATGGTATATTTATGTACATAGGAAAATATGCAATGCATAAGCAGTTTAACTATTATCATTCTTGAATAAGATTGGAAACAATTATATTTCTGTTGCCTCTGGATAATTCTACTTCACTCGCACTTAGTTTTGCCCCAATATTTGTGTGATAAAATATTAATATTTCGTTTAGATCAAGTCAGTATTTATATACCAAGCGTTGAATTTGTTTCTTTTCAGAAACGTTTTCCCGGACAATCTTTTTCAGGCATCCTTTCAACAAGCGCACACTGTTTACCTTCCCAAACCAAGTATTTTGCATACATTCAATGAGACACTTAACGACACCGCGATTGGTACCGAATTCGAACCGGCCGAAGAGATACAAGCACAACAAGGCGGTGATGTACTCGAACCCGCGCTCATACGTGTGGTACAATATCGCAGCGGCACCAACACGCTCGGCATCGTCTTCTTTTGCCTAGTCTTCGGCACCATATTGGGCACGATCGGCGAAAAGGGGCAAATTGTGGTGGATTTCTTTACGGCCGTCTTTGAGGTTATCATGAAGATGGTCACCTGCGTCATGTGGCTCACACCCATCGGTATTAGTTCGGTGATAGCTGGCAAGATATTGGGCGTCAACGATCTGCATTTGGTCATGGAGCAGCTGATGTGGTTCATACTCACCAATCTGATTGGCGTATGCCTATATCAGTTCATTATAATGCAGGGGATTTATTTTGTATTCGTGCGACGGAATCCATTCAAATTCTACGCCGGACTTATACAGCCCATGCTGACCGCTTTTGCGACAGCCTCAACGTAAGCAAACATATCTACATATGTAAAACTATGTAACTATCTTGTATGTATGTAACATAAAACGCATAACAGCATACATACATACATACATATGTACTTATTGTACTGCCTCATAACGTATCTGAAGTCTATGTATCTGTGATAATTGCATTTTTGATTATTGTACTTGTATATTCGAGAAAGCACTTTTAAATGTCTGACATTGTCTCATAATGATATATATGTATATGAGCACGCTCGTATTATACATTATATACATATACATTTATATATATAATATTATATATAACAGTATGTCCTTAACGTTGGCTACATTCAAGTATCCACTTGCCACACCGGCCTTTATACATATAAACAAACAAAAATTTATACATATGTATGTTTATATGTATATACTATTTATACCATTATATAACATACATATGTATATTTTATATGCAGTTGTGTGCACATGGCCTGTGATTAATGAATGCAGCACCGTTAGACCTAATTTTAATTGCTACAAATATTTGTTTCCTTCTTTTTGGTTTCCAATTTTTTATTTGCATTTAAAATTTTTATTTTGAAAAAAAAAAACATAAAAACGTAATAAATCGAAATGCGTCATTTGATAAATAACCAACAAATCAACATAAAACTGAAAATGTTTACAAAAATAACAAATCAATAACCAAAATTTTATAAAACCATGATAAACATCAAACTCAAAATGGCCGACTGACTGTTCCCTACAAAATGGCTGTGCTGTACTGTGCTGTACGTAACGCGTTTCTTGTAAACCGCACCTGAAATCTCTGCATCACTTTATCGTCACCTCGAAATGACAATACTTCTCATCGAATCCTGAAATCTTGAAAATTCGTGCAAGTGCAGTGCTGCTGCTCTACCGATCACATTTCGTTGCATGAATGACAAGTTGCGTGTGGATCAGCGGATCAGCCGTTTCGTGCTACCGATAGGCTGTAACATCAATATGGACGGTACGGCACTCTTCATTGCGATTGCCTCGATCTTTATCGCCCAGATGAGTGGCATACCGTTGGGTTTTGGCGAACTGGTCACGGTTTTATTGACTTCGACTGCGGCTTCTATGAGTTCGGCTAGTGTTCCGAGTGCTGCTCTGGTCCTGCTGCTTGTGGTGCTTACTGCCATCGATGCTCCGGTACAAGATGTTACGCTACTCTTTGCTGTCGATTGGTTTGTGTGAGTATCTTTAATTTTATGTACATATATATAAGCTGTAGGTTTCAAAGCTTACCTACAAGAAAGTGTTAGTTAATATTGCCAATGAGAACTAGACTTAAAACAAAACTGATCTCTTCAGGCAATATTCTTAAATTTTAAGAAGTTGGGTCGGACTTCTTCTTTCTTCTTATAGTATGTACCTATATCGAATGTGTAATTTTTGTTAACGTTTTTCATTTGCCAAAAACCCTTTTTTAGTTCTCTTATGTAACCAAAATTTACAAGAAAGACATTCTTTTAAAGGTCGAAGTCCTATATGACAAATATAATATTAATAGGCACAGCATATTCGACCTGGAAAACCTCTGATTATATTTTCTAGTAATCATTCAACAGACAGACTGGAAAGTTCATGCCATTTTAATGAAAAGTTGATTTTTTCGGCTAAATTCGATTGAACGATAGATGCCATCAAAGACGATACCTGATTAAAGTTATCACCTTTTTCGATACCATTTTATAGTATAATAGGTCTTTTACTTCGAAAGCGATTTCAGTCTCGGCGATTTGTTTTCAATGAGCATACTCTCGAAGTCTGAGGACAAAAACATGTCGATCACATAAAATCCAAAAAAAAATGTAGGTACAAAAGCTAGTAGAAGTAATTTTACTATATTTTTTTATCGATTCGAGAGGCGGTGTATTGGATATTATATTTTGAGTCCACATGGCACCCAGTTTGGATAGAGTTTTCGCTCAATGCCTTCCTTTAATATCTTTAGAGCGTAAGCAATTTTGATTCATTTTATTGTCTTTAAAAATCATTATGTGTTTTTTTTTGATGTTTTGGTTCTTAACAGCCTCTTTTGGACATACACTGAATTCATCGTTTTCGGTGCTCATATTGCCAGTATAGAATTTAAACAGTCTCGTACGAATATGTCTGGATAATGTTAGTTCTAACTGCAATTCTACTTCTTCTTTCATAGAAACTATATGAAATTTTACGAAGTACGTATTAGGTAGGTTCTTATTATATTTTGATTAATGGCACGATAGTGTATAGGAGCGATAAGTAATATTTTCTAAACTGCTTTAACGACCTTATATCTATCTATCTATCTTATTTTTTTTGGTTATTTTGCGAATCTAATCATATATCCATATACTAATTTTAGAGATCGCATGCGCACCACTAATAACATGCTGGGCGATTGTTATGCCGCCGCCGTCGTTGAAGAGCTATCACGCAAAGAACTAATGGCACTGGATGCCGCTATACTCTATCAGGTAATACAATCGGCTTTGATGCCTAAGTATACAGAAAAACAGTGTCAAAATTATACCATAATCAACGAAAAACGTTAGGAATGTACTTAGGTAATTCCATATATTACATACATACATAATCCATATAAAGTTAGAATAACTCAAACATGCCATGCTATTGCTATGCTCACTAAAAATCCGATTGCAGATGTACTACACGCGTTCCGAGTGTACATGGCGTTCAGCGGCCACCGCTAGGCAAAATTATTGCGCCGCACAACGAAGTGACAAAGTACAGCTACCATACCACTTATGTTGCCAGATATTTCTAAAATAAACTTATTTATTCCAATTTCTCTTTAACTTTTACTTATTTTAACTTTTATCTTCCCATTTCTTTCGTACAGGAAGTGCCAGTTGGTACGCCAAACGGAAATGCCTTGCTTGAGGGGCAAACCGAGTTGGATAGCAAGTGCTCGATGACCGATTCGGTGGTCATCGATATCAATAATGTGATCAACAGCAGTAATTTGCAGAAGGAGAATACTGGTTGTCGCGCCTAAAATTATAATATTACAATATATTCGAAAATTCACATACTCAACAAGTGTGTAGGCGCACGTGCACTCTCATTAACCCAATATTTATACTACGCAAGGAAATAATTTTTAAGTATGAGAACATATAAATTCTTTACATGAATTAGATTTGGTAATTAGGCGGGATTTACCTATACTATGTAATTCAAATATATTTGAATTTAGTTTCTAGTTATTTTTTAAATATTTTTGGCATAATTTTCATGCTCCTCATTAATTGCCTTGAAAATATTTCTCGTAAGAACCCATTCCTAGGTGAAACTAAATTATCTGACGGAAGCATACAGGGTGGTTCATATAGTGTAGTTTGTTTCTCTCAATTAGAAATATTAATTGGAAAATATTTATTTGGGTATCATTTGTTTAGTCAAAAAAATCTAAAAATTTAAGGTTCGGTTCGGTACGTTTTCTGCCAAAAATTAAAATACAAATATTTCTTTTACTGATTTAAAAAACTTAAGACTTGAAACTCGACACTATGGGGTTAATAAAATATTTCTATGCGTGAAAAGTAGTATTTCTCTACCAAATAAAGAAGTTAGAGTTCATATTACCACAAGATTGTACCGTAAGTGCTGCCAGCTTGTTTGAAGAACTGGTATAAAAGACAACTTCTATAGCTTTGCCCGTTGACGTCTTACTTATTTCACTTTATATTATTTCATTCCCTTCTACGGAGAATATATCTCTTCATTTTGTTCCAAATATTCTAGCAAAAACAAAAATCCAAAAATGGTTTACCAAAAGGAACAGTAAATTAAAAACAAAATGCAAAATGTGTATGAATCACCCTTTTTACACTTACATAAAAGTACTAAACCAAATAGAAATATGAACATTCATAAATCAAAACAAGTAGAGTAGTGACCAGATCAGCATTCATCAAGTATTGACATAAACAATAAAGCCAACAATGAATAACAGAAAAATATATTAACATCAAATCCTATAATATATTATATAACGGATGTAGCAAACATGTATTAGATATTACATGACGTACTTACATAATTTATGGCATACATACAAATATATATGTATTTATATATTATATGTGTGATTTAAACACCACATTAAGTATTTAATAAAAACAAAAGCAAACAATGTAATCCAATGACTAGAACTAATCCGATAACACCTACATATGTACTATACCTATATGGCAATGTTTACATACTGTTAGGATAGCATTTATGTATAATATGTATGTCTGTAAACACCCCAACGTGACATTTAGCGTTGCATCCGTAAATAATAGAGACTGTTAATTTTTAAAAAACGTTGCAAAATTTTTTGAAATTTATATGTATGTATCTATGTGCATAAGTAAATTGTGAGCCCACCAATTGATACGGTGTTTTTGTTTCTCAAAATAATTTACCAACAATTTTACACTATAACAGAAAAATGTTCCCTGTATGAGTATACAGTAAAAACGGAGTAGAGTTAACCAAATTAGCCAGCAAATGTTTACAAAAGTTCATAATTATAACATACCGACCTACTAGCAAACTAAAAAATAAAACAAAATATAAATATTATATAAAATATTGTAATAATAAATAAATCAATAAGATGTCGAGCAAAGTTTTTAGACAAAGCCACTTAAGTACATATGTATATGATTTTAAGCAAACTTTAAAAATCTATAAATATATATTATATTTCTCTTAATTTAGCGCTTAAAAATGTATATGTATAATTTTAGTGCGGAACAATATTTGTACATATCTGTATATTTATGAAATTCGTAAGATTTAAAAAATATGTATTCATTGCATCATAGACGAAATACCCACTTTCATATGTACGTAAACACATACTATATACGTACATACTTACATATATACAGGTATTAGTAGAAAGTGTGATACAATGTTGACGAGGATATTTGGTAATGATTGGGAAGCCTATTGTGTATCTCAGTAACGTTTGTGATGTTTTGATATAAGAGTTATAATAATAAATTCTTGGAAAAAATTTTAATTTCGATTTTCTTTTATCAATATACTTATAATGTAGAAAACATCGCAACCCTTGATTTTTAGGGATATCTCATGAATTCAATCTAGAAAACTTATTTTTTGGTTTTATTTTAATGTAGAAAAATATAGGTAAAACGAAAAATTGGGTTTGGTTCATAATTATGTTATTTTTTTTGTATTTTTTCTATATTTACATAGTCAACCGTCAGATGTATATATTTACTTTGTTTTAAAAATTGAGCTTTAATACTATGTTCGCACCGACACAAAATTCGTGTTTTCATAGACAAAAGAGGTTTTCAAACGAATACTTGTGTTTTCATCCATACAAAATCTGTCAAACGAAAACACAGTTTTCGCTGAAAACCCCTTGAAAACTTACATTCCACTCATTATAATCGGTGCCTGCTCTAGTTTAATCGATATTATAAGAAGACATATTTTGCCAGCCCTAAATGTCAGTTAACAATTTGTTTACATTCCATAATTGGCCCAAACGTACCCTACAAGAAACTGCTGATGGGTTCACCAATACACTCACATTTGATATGTCAGTACTGTTAATTTACATTTGCATTTTTAAGTTCAGAACTTTCCGCTGATTGGAGAAAGACGTACGCAGAGATATTAAGAGGAGGAGATGGCATCAAGTGAAAATTTATTTTTATATTTTCATATTTTATTATTTAATTTTATTTTCGTTGCATTCCTTTTTATATTCAGGTATATTATTATAACTAATGTTGATTAAAAGTTTGAAATTTATTAAATAAATAAAAATTATATTATCTACTGCGCAAAAGAATTTTTCACTTCTGATAGCGTTTCAGTCATAACTGACAATTTTCAGCTATGACGGATTTATGGACAGCAATGACTCAGAAGAAGACATGAGAGTGAGCAGTACAGATATATAGTGAATCAATTCCGAATACCCATGTGTTAAAGAGAGATGCAAACTCGCACACATACGTTTGTTTACATTAGTTTTTGCACAAGGCTATTAAGAAAATGATAGAAACTTTGTTCTGCGCGCTGACAAAATTTTTTCAGCTATGACTGTCATATTACCCATCAGATGACCGGCACTGTTCTTGTAGGGTACATAAAAAAGTAAACAAATAGATGTGTGAACTGTCAATGAAAACTCAGCTAAAACACACAATGTCGGTCAGAACGACTTTGGTTCCACAATCCACAAATTGTGTTTTCAAGAGGATTTCAATTCGGTGCGAACATAGTATAAGAGTATTTACTGAATAAGTAAATTCTGAAATTCTCCGAAATGATATTTGCATATGAGTTCATAACTAATTGAGTAGAGTACTCAATACATATATAAAAACTCAGTCTTTTCGACGTAAAGCTCTCAAAAAACTTATTAGCTGAAGATAGTTAAAACTTTCAGCTCAACCCTCCATACTACAAATAAAAATAGAAGTTGGAGCAAATATTCATAAAATATATTGAAGTATATCAAATTTTGTAAATTAAGAAAACGACATTCAATATCGAGCCAAATACCAACGGAAAATATAATTTACCATAGTTTCCCTCTTCTCTTTTCAACGGGAACCTTCATTTCAAAAAGTGAAATAATTATAATAAATTACTTTTACTTCGGGATTTTTCACTAAAACTGTAGTTTAGCAATATTTTATTATGCAAGGAATAGTTAAGAAAAAAATTCTTACATTTTCCATATTTTAAAATGAAGGGTGTCACAAAATTTACGCTAGATTGGTATTAAATAGAAAAAACAGTTATATTAGTCTTTCATTTGTATTTTTTTTATTGAATCATAGAGTACATAGGATAAGGTCATTTATGAAATAAAACTTGAGTTGAATGCGCTCCACGGCTTTCGAACTCATTTTCCGGAATTTTCCATGACTATTCTGTGTAAATGTCGCTGAATTTCATTGGAGCTATGTTGAATCTCCTCCTTTAAAGCACGCGTGGTTGTGGGCTTTTTGCAATAGACCTGTGGTTTTAAATAACCCAATAAAAAGAAATCTTATGGTGTTAAATCACACGATCTTAGGGCCAATTCTGATCACTAAAACGAAAGAGTACACGACCTGGAAATGTTTCATGCAGTAATTGAAGTGTTTCACGGACTGTATGATATCTGGCACCGTCTTGTTGAAACCACATATTGGCCACATCAATATCATTAAATTTCGGCAAAAAGAACTGGGTTATCATGTCGCGATATTGAGCACCAGTCACTGCTTGACTAGCCTTTTTTTTCAGAAAAGTATGGGGTTCATGTGGGTTCTTAGAACCTCAAAAGCAGCAGTTTTGGCAATTAACAAATCCATCAAGGTGAAAATGTGCTTCATCGCTTAGGATGATTTTGCTCGAAAAATCAACATCCAAGCTTTTTTTTATTTTTTTAATATTGTACAATAATAAAGACACGTTATTCTATCGTGTAACGCCCCATTTTACTAGACCTAAACTGTCAGTTGTCAATTTGTTTTTGTTTTTAGCGTTGTCAACACTTTACTACCTAAATGTCGGCAAATTTAGATCTTGCATTCATTTTGGGACACCCTTTACTATTTGAAGGTTGTATTTTATTACTATATTACGTAAGTCCAGAGAAAGGAAAATTTTTAGAAAAAGAAATTGTTGTGACCTTTTACTTCTTAAGGAGTTAATGAAAAGAGTGTAAGCCGTGATACAAAAGCGATTTTATAAAAGTATTTGTTCGATTAGATACTTGTCGTATTTAGTTGCAAACCAGCCTAGCATGTACATTTAGTAGCCTATCTGAAATAAATTTGTAGCAATCAGCAAAATAGATTACTATGTGGACTACTCTACAGAAAGAAATAATTGTTACTAAACAAATCAAATCGTAAATGTTCGTAGACGGAAAAATAAAAATAAAACAAAATGCAAATGACTTAACTAAATAATATCACATTCGTAGACTGATTAGTATTATATTTTCTTTGAAGTTCGTTAATAAATATTTTTATTAATTGATAAGCAAATAAATATGTATCTATATGGGAAAACTTAAAGTGTGTTTATTTGAGAAACAGTGCTCGAGTTGGCATTCAGAAGGAAGAAATTGAAAAGTCTGAAAAATTAATAAAGTATTTAGGTAAGAGTTCTTGTCAATTAATTGGATTATTGTGGGTTTTTAGACCCATCTTTTAATGTAAGAAGTAAGTAAGTTTACAATTTTATTTTACTTTTCCTTTGTTGAGAGTATTTTCGTTTTCTTACCTTGCTAGTAATTTTAACTAAAATTTGGATAGGTCATCTGAAAGTTACAAAACTCTATTCTGGTAATTCCTCATAGGAAAAAGTATATAGAAGTTCGTAAAATAAAATTTACAATGGATAACCATCACATAGTTCTGTAAATTCTTTCCACCGATTAGTATGTGTCGACGTGATACATTTTCTGAATATTTTTTGTTTATCTTAAAAGGAAACGTAACAACGATAATTAAATATACCTAAAAAATCAAAACTTAAATATGACATTGCCTAATTTAAAGCTGATGAACAAAGGACTCCAGGTTTAGACTAAACGGATTCTTTCTTAGCTAGAATGTGTTCGGTAAAGTTAAGGTCTCTCGTAATCTTCTGGTTTGATAATTAATTACAATGTACAACACTCGGCTGAGTATTGGACCAAACTAATTTTTTTCGAAAGAGTGAAAGAATCCGATTCTGCCTATCTGCAATACCAACCGCCCTTGGCTATCAACGCACAAGTTTCATCGAGAGAACTCAAATTTAACACAAGTTATTGCTTTCACGGACGGGCAGACAGTCGCTCGGAATTCAACTCGTCTCGTCATCCTTATCATTTGTATATATATAATACCATATATATCTCGATAAGTTGTAGGTGATACAAGAAAACGTTACGTGAACAAATCTATTACGAGTATACTCTGTGGCAATTTGTTGCAAGAGTATAAAAATGTTGCGACAGAACATTCATTATTCGACGAAATCGTGAATTGATAACAATCGAATTTGGTATTATTCTATTCATATCTTATTTCTCGTCAGCTAAAATTATAATAAAATCATCCTCACATTATATAAGCATATCTAAATTTAATTTATTGAGTAATCGAAGAGGATAAAATTCTTTATGTTAGTGATATGAGGTATAGACCAATTCCATTTATATTCTGTGGTAAACCACATTAAATATCACACATCTTGACAAACCGGTAAAGTTTAAAGGCAAGTGGAAAGTTGGCTATGTTCAAAACTCGATACATGGGTTCCTCACGAACTGAAGAAACGCATTTAACGCAAAATTATCCATTTTTAAACGAATGACAACTGGTGATGAAAAATAGGTTGGTTTAAACAATATCGAATGGAAAAGATCGTGGAGCAGGCCAGGTGAACCAGCTCGAACAACATCAATAGCTGGTATTCATCAAAAGAAGTTTTGTTATCAGTTTGGTGGGATTATAAAGGAATTGTTTACTTTGAACACTTACCACTCAACCGACCGATCAATTCTGTTGTCTACATTGAACAACTACCGAAATTAAACAATGCATTTGAAGAAAGCGGCCCGAATTGATAAATCGAAAAGGTGTTGATTCCATCATGACAATGCAAGGCACACACATCTTTGGTCACTCGGAAAATTATTGGAGCTTGGTTGGGATGTTTGCCACATCCACCATATAGCCCTGACCTGCACCATTGGATTACTTTTGTTTCGATCATTACAAAACCCCTTGAATGGTAAAAATTTCAATAATGATGATGATGTCAAATCGTACCTGATTCAGTGTTTTGCTAATAAAAACTAGAAGTTTTATGAACATAGGATTATAATGCTGCTTGAAAGATGGCAAAAGATCATTGATCAAAATCGGCAATACATTACAGAATAAAGTTATTTAGTTCCATGAAAAATTTTCTTTGATTTATAAAAAAAACCGCAATTACTTAGTTGCCAATCCAATATTTTAATATATTTATTAGTACTTGATTTATATA